CTGAAGAGCATTGTTTGACGTCGTTCTAAAAGTAATAATAATAATAAACAAATGTTTCATATATAAATGAAATTGATTTTCTTACTTGGAAGTAAATTAATAATCTGTTTCATTTCTTCTTCGAATCCAATGTCCAAAATTCGATCAGCTTCATCAATGACTAAACACTGTAGATTTTTGTAGAGAAAATCAGGCGTGTTTTGCAAATGATCCAGGAGACGACCAGGCGTAGCAACCAGAATATTTATACCTAAATATTATAAATATTACAAAACAAATTTTTATTTTCTTTTAATCATTTACCTTTAGATAATTTTTGTGCTTCTGTTTGTCTTGAAGCACCACCCATGACCAAACCATAAGTATGATGATGATGTGCCATTAATTCCTTAAGCACACCAAATGTCTGCATGGACAGTTCTCTAGTGGGAGATATAATAACGACACCTGTACCATTTCTCGGCATAAATTTCAATTTGTAAATCAATTCAACAGCAGGAATAAGGAAAGCTAATGTTTTGCCAGAGCCTGTTTTCGCCGCTCCAACTAAATCACGTCCTTCTAATAGCGGCGGAATGGACCTGGCTTGGATTTCAGTGAGAGTAGTGAAACCCATATCTTCAATTCCTTTCAATGTTTGTTCACACACTTTGTCTGCCAGGGAAGCAAATGTGCAGTTACTGAGGATTTCCAAGCCCACTGATGAACCAGGCACTGAAAATATATATTTATTAAAATAATGTGTTGTAGTTTTTGATTTATGAATACAAATTACTTTACATGTAAATAAATATCAGTTATTTGTTATATTCAAACTCTCAACTCATAATTTTTCATGTTATTGAAAAAAAAATTGAGGAGTATATTCACATTCGCCTTATACTCATCATGAAACTATGTTTTTACATTTAGAAATCAATATTTTATACAACTTACATGCTTTCTTTTCATCAGGTACACCTGACACATCTTCATCAAGCTCTTCAGCAGATTCATCATTTAAATCAATGTCAGATTCTATTTGACTTGTATCTTCATCAGCTTCCAAGTCAAGGTCATTCTTTTTCTTATTTTTCTTTCTCTCTGGAAATTATATATTGATTTATATATAAACTTATAAAAATAGAAGTCTTTTACATCATTTATGATAAACTTACTTTTTGCAGGTCCATCTTCAGATTTATTCAACCTTTTCTGGGCTTTTACTTCTTCCTGAGTAACTAAATGTACTCCATTAGTTTGTGTTTTTGTTTTTGTTTGCTTTTCTGAAATTCATACACCAACATATTAAAAATAATTCTTGTTGCTAGCAAAAAGCATTTACACACCTTCTTTCTCAGCTTCCTTTAGCTTAACTAATTTAAGCTTACTCTTTTCACGTTTTTTAATTTTTCTCATCAGTACTTTCTCGGGCAGCGACATGATTAATTAATTTTGTTATTTGACACAATTGTTATAATAAATGTATTGTAATGTTGAAATAATGAAGAAACAACACTTTTTGCAACAACACGTGCAACACGTGAACCTCGAAAACAAGATATTTGTGGTTAAAATTCAACAACGCACAGTGTAGATTGCCTTCCAGATACTTCTCAACCAGAGTG